CATGCCTCCTTAGTATAATCATCATGATCATTTGCTCTTTTTTTTTCCTTTTGGAACCGATCATATTCTTATGCTTTTAGCATATCTTAAAAATAAGAGCATTTTTAGCTGGAAGATAAAAATTAAAAATTCTCATTTGGGTCAATAATTGCATTTGGCAGATATTAGTAATGTTTTACGAATACAATACTTTATGAACTTCTAGTTCATATTACTATGTCTAAGAACCTATATTTGATAGTGAAAATGCATTCTATGCGTTTTCTTTTCCAATTACACATTTTCTCTCCCTCATATTGGGAACATGTAATGTAGGTCTTCCAAATCTATAAATCTCCTTTAGAAACATTATTTTGTTTCATTTAGACAGAAACAAGAATAAGGAGATTCTTATCCAACAGTGATCCCAACTTACTTTTAACATCCATCTATGAGCATTATTGTGGTGAAATAATAGATATTGTACATTTTAAAATGAAAAATGTCTGGCTCCTGACCAAAAGCCAATTATAATGGGAGAATTCACAATACATTATTGGCTTGATGCATTTATGTGCAAAAAATATATAAAATTAATCATCCCAAGACTCAGATGGGAATTCTATTCTCATAAACTTTGATCTAGCTACTTATGGAGTCTTTTACTAAGCATATAATTATTAGCAACGTGAGGAACAATCACTAGCAATCTCAACAAGAATCATATTGATTTCATAATAAAAACTTATATACTCAATGTAATTATCTGAACGTATTTGCAAATTTCAGGGCTGCAAGTTGATCATAAACACCTGTGACCATTTTATAGATGCATCTTTCACTTATAAAGTATTACTTTGATCCACATGGTGTCTAAATGAGCCCATATATAAAGTTGATACATTATAAATCTGTACGGATCCGATTTTGAGTATAGTTAGTGATGTTCTCTTATTTAGTTCTTTTGAGAACAAACAACACATAAAAATTCTTGAATCGTATATCATTTTTAAAGAATCTTCTGGTTCTTTAATAAATGACAATGAACATTTTTCAAGATATTTTGTATCATTATAATATGGGATGATCTAACTAGTTATACCAAACTATAAATATATAAACTTATGGTTTATTATAAAATTATTCTTAATTATTAGTAGATTTCTTGTTACCATGTCATATTATTCATTTTTCACTTTAATATTTCATGAGGAATATGGTATCGATTATGGATTTTATCTTCAGGATAATAAATCATGATATGGCTCTTCTAAAGTGTTATTTTTCATCTTTTACCCAATGGTAAAAACTTATAGAAGGTTGAGCGCTCCTGACGCTTCTGGAGCCTTTTTCAAAATGAATATACGATACAAGGGATGACATTAATATTAATAATAACAAATTCTATCTAACATAATTTACACTTGTATTTCAACAATCTCCCCCTCAATTGTGAGTCATATAAATCTATTTTTCTTATTTTTATATTTCAAATAGAGTGAAAAGTATATAGTAAGCTAATAATATATCTTTAACTTGGAAATCCAAATGCTTCATAATTCAGATATAATAATGAATTTCAATCCAATTGTGCTATCACCTTAAGACTCTTTGATAAACAAATATTCTAATATATATGTTTGTGAATCATAATTTTCATTATCAACTACCAATTCTTTAGAAACTATATCAACCTTTTATTATTAGTTCTTCTAGAACTATATGAATTTTTTGATTATATATAGTTCTTCAGAAAATACTATATATAGTTGTTCAGGAACTAACATATATTATTTTTTCACTATATGATATACTTTACTTCTTGTTATGCTTTTTCAAAGTATGAAGTATTTTTTTTTCAAAACATAAAATTTTCTGGATATTTCGTTATTCAAAAACTTCATTTCTTTGTATATATTATATAATGCTTCAAAACTTATTTATAAATTTATAAATCCAATCAAAATTTGAAAAGATCTATGAGGACTAAAATCAAACTATATAGCTACGAAAATTTAAATCATAAACTTTCAGGACTATTTATAAGTCATTAGTCTTCAAGACTCTATATAGTAAATATATATTTTAAAAATCATTTGTGTCCCTTAATATCTAAACCATAAGTCTTCAGGGCTTTAAAAAAAATCATAAGTTATTATTTTCATATCATTCAATAACATGAGTGTAATGGCTGCTAGCCATTTAGTAATAGGAAATTATAATATTAATAAATATCAAATTGAATGACAAGAATATATAAGAATAAGATAAGAATAAAACTTAAATTTTAAATTAAGTAAATGTAACATGAAATAACAAGAAAAGGTAAACTCTTTACCAACGCATCCTTTACTACATAGTTATTAGTTTTCTGGACTACATTATTTATAATTATAATTGTCATAATTTTTTTTATAAACAAACCATATAATGATCCTTCTCATAATCAAAATTATATGGTTTCAGGCCATTTAATAAAGAAAATATCAAAATTATATGGCTTTAGGCCATTTAATAAAGAAAATAAAGATACATGCATCTAGTTATTTAATTTCAAAATAAAAAAAATTTAAGATATATGATTTCTAACTATAAGATAAAAATTTGATGTTACAAGGTTTCTAGCAAATTAATAAAATAATAAAAAATTAAATATTTATGACTTCTGGCTATAAGATAGAACATCGAAGTTATATGGATGTGAGTCATTTAAGAATATATATATATATATATATATATGGCTTCTGGCCATAAAATAGAAAATTCAACATGATATATATAAATAAAAATAAATTAAATATATATGGCTTCTAGCCATAAAATAGAAAATACAAATTATATAGCTTCCAGCCTTTTAATGAGATAAAAAAAATTCAAATATATATGGCTTCTGGTCATAAGATAGAAAATCAAAGTTATATGGCAACTAGCCATTTAATAAGATAAAGAAAAATTATATATATATGACTTCTGATCATAAAATAAATTCAAATTATATGGCTTCTAGCCATAAGATGAAAAATTTATACCTAAATACTTTTAGTTATTTAATAAGATAAAATATCAAATATATATGGTTTCAAGCTATTTAAAAAAAAATAGAGAATTAACTATATATATATGGCTTTTAGCCATAAGATAAAAAAATCAAAGTTGTAGAGCTTCTGGCTCTAATATAGAAAGTCAAAATCATATGGTTTTTAGTCACTTAATTTGAAAAGAATGAAAAATCAGAGTTATATGGCTTTTGGCCATTTAATTACGATGAGATGAAAACTTAGAATTATATGACTTCTGATCATATTTAACTTTAGATGGTAACTCTTTAAGGATATTGTTAGTATCTATTGGAACTTTGAGTTCCATCAAAATAGTGATGTTAGGTTAATAAAAAATAGAGGGGAAAAATCCTCTCATCATAATTAGTTCAGAAGGTATAATATCTATATCAAAATTAAATGTAGCACTAAAAAGTAAAGTAAAATCTCCAATCATAGCTATGGAGCCTGATATTTAAAACAACAGAAGATAATCTTTTTAATTCCATATAATGGCTTAAATTACTCTAAACAAATTGAATAAGAATACGGATACTTTGAAACACCATATATGTAATGCTCGAGATATTTTTATTTAAACAGAGCAAAAGATACTCTACAAAAATAATAGATATGATGCTCTAAAATTATGCTGGGATAGAAAGATATATCATATGCACTTTGGATAAAGTTTCGTGCTAATAACATGTCATAAATAAAGAAGAAATTTAGAAAAGAATCATACAGAGGAAGAGATGATCAACAAGAGAGAGTATTTCTCATTCCATTCAAATGTGCTCAATACATTATATATGACCTCTATTTATAAACACAGCTTTACATCTTTGATAGAATTTAAAGATAACATAATAATATAAGATAATTTAGAATATAGAGATAATGAGAGATATCAGAGATTATAAGAGATATAGAAAATAATAGGAGATATATGGACATCCACATGTTCATTTTCTCATGTTTCTTATACATTATACTGGTTACTGATTTTTTTTTTTGGCTTTGTAGTTTGTGCGTCCTCATTTCTTTCTACTTTGATATTCCGCAAATCAGCAAAAATTAAAAAAAAAAAAACGAAAAAAAAGAGAGACTTTCCGATCAACAGGCACACGGAACATCATATCACTATTTCTCATATGTTATATCCACTATGTTTATTATGCTTTTGGGGCGTTTTGTTCATGACTTGGTAATACGTACTTGCATCCATTTTTTAGACATAAATATATAAAATCTATAGCAAGGCAAACTAAGAAATAGAAAGCACTAGTGTTACTTTACTCTCTTTATATTTAGAAATAATTCAGAGTTATATACATATTATTATTATATCCTGTTATTCAATTTTTCAACAAAATTAACCATCGAATTTCCAACAAATATTTAGATAAATTAAATCACGTTCCAAAATATTACTCTAAAATATTATGTAACAATTATATTTGTTGATATTGGTTATTATTATCAGAATCACACTTTTTAAAGAAACTAGATTAGATGGGACTGTCCTTCATAAATTATATAAATGAGGGGGCAAAAAGCCAAATTCTTTTAAAAAAAATTCAATATTCGTTTAATAATAAAAAGCAAGGAAAAGTTGATCACAAGGGATCCATGCTTCAGGGGGAAGAATATCAGGATTCATGATGGTTCTGCATGCTCCAGTATCAATAAAGGCAATAACAGGAATTGACTTTTCGTATCTTTCCGGAAGGATATGAATTTTGACATTTGGCTTAGGAGTGACTTTGTTTCCAAATCTTTTTCCATTTTCATTGGGCCATCATGCCCCTTTAATGGGGCAAAATCCAGTCAGCAAGTCGAGCACGCCCGAAGTCTCCGCTCTCCCGCACGCGGTCTAGTCGTCCCCGAGCTTGGAAATTTCTGCCACTGCCTTCTTTGACCCGCTGGTTATCTTTCTTCCTGCTTCCCAATCCACACACTTTCCCTTCAGACTTTTCTTCTTCCTTTCTATCCTTTCTTCTCTGAGCCGTTGATTTTGGCTCTGTTTTTTAAAACCTTCTGTTCACGTCCTTTTCTCCACTTCAGCTGCTCTTTTTTGCCTTCCCTTCTGGGCAGAGCGATGCTTCCCCGCTATTTCGAGAGCTCTGCAAGTTTATTTGGTTCTCCTGAGCTTGATTCTTATATAATTCAGGTGGGTATTGCAGTACTTGAGCAGGATTGATGTAATTCACCGTAACCTTCCAATTCTTCGCAAGAAGCTTCGAAATACTCGGTGACAGGCTACTCGAGAAGTCACTCTCTTTAGCTTTCCCTTTTATTTTCCTTGCCAAATCCTCAGAATCAATCTCAAGTTTCACTTTTTTCACTTTCAAGACTCCGTTTAACTCCCCACGCCTCCGCTTCAAAAACACCACAAGAGCCAACTTGCTCTGCAAAGCCATTGATCCATCCGCCCATGTTACCTCCAACAACCCCTCCGCAGCCAGAAGGACCAGGATTTCGTCTATAAGCACCATCGGAGTTGTCTTCACCTACCCTTTCGTTGGCTTTTGCCAACGGTGCACAGCTACATTATGTGATTTTTCATTCTTGCAACCATTTAAAAGCTTCCTCTGCTGAACTTGGTTAATTTCTACAGCGAAAAGCTGAATTCTCTCAGCACAAGATCTAGCACCAGAGAGGTCAGAACGAAACGATCTAGCGTTCCCCTGTTTCCACAAAACCCAGCAAGTCACGCCAAAAATCAAGCCTCGAGGTGAGCATCCCTGAAGCCAAGCCTGAATAATTTTTCTTTCATCTGAGATCCGGGTGGAAAGGGCAAAATAAAAATCTTGACCTGTAAATCGTAAACAAATCCAGACCTCCTTAGCAGAACTGCAATTTTTCAGGACATGTAGAGTTGTTTCCTTTTCACCACATAGATCACACAGACCACTCGGCCCCGAGCGCCGAAGCGTCTAATCCTCACCTAAGAATTTTATTTTGGTTGTAGATATAAGATTCAAATCAATTTTATTTCATAAATTTTGTAACTTTTCTTTCCCAAACTATCTGAGTCTAGTAAAATGATTTTAATCAAACAATAGTTCCAATATAAATGATGATTAAATAAGATATTTTAAAAAAAAAATCAAGACATTTGTTCAAAAATAACTGATATAACTAATTTTTTTAATTTTTATAAATTAATTATTTAGACATCATGAAATAATATTATATATTCATCTTATACTATGGATTTTTATCCAACCTGGACTCTTACGGAATTTCTCTACTCTTTTGTTTTGCAGTTATTGGTATTTGGATTTAGCTTTCTCTGCGCTAATTGCTTTGTTCTTCAGCATATCAAGAAAGACCTTTAACATAAGGAAGGTTAGTATGGCTAATGATTTCTTTTTGTTGTTTTGATGCTTGAACTTTACCAATTATATACACACATTAGTCTGTGGTACTAAATATAAAAGTTAGATAATTAGTTCACAAAATTTAAAAAAAATTAAGTAAGCTATTTATTAAAAGAAATGTGTGTGTGTGTGTGTTTTTTTTTTTTTAAATGCCCCTTCTTTTGATCATTTACATTGAAAGATGCTCATATTGATTACGCATGCTATAAATTATGTATAATGAGTAGGAGTAGTTTTAAAAAAATAATAAATATGAAAGACAAAGAATTATAATATTATATTTTAAGAATAAAACAAACTTTTTAATTAACTCTTATATTTATAAAAAAAAATTGAGTAATAAAATTTCGGTCAAATTAAAAAAGGAGGGGACAAAAAGGTAAATTTATTGTTAAGAGCCTTGAACATTAAATCTATTAAAGATTCAGCAACAAGTATTGCAATTCATATTCTAATAATATATAAGCAGTTTTGATTTAAAATTTAGCTCAAGAATAAGTGGTCATTTCTTTCTTTCTTTCTTTGTTTTTTTTTTTAATACAATATAAGCGATCATTTCTTGATGCTAAAATAATATCAATTTTTGAGTAATTTTTAGTTAAATGATATTATAGAAAAAATAATATGAATTTTATAAATGTAAACTCGCAAAAAGAGTATTTTAGTTATCTAACAACTTAAATAATTTCTTTAATATTCTCAAATTAATTATTTAGTTTTTATATTATGAACTACAATTAATATTTTAGTAAGCAGCCGGAAGAAACTAAATCCTCTAGGATCAAAACAGTTACTTAAATTTAATAGTATGTGTGATACTACTTTTGGTCCTTAATATAAGAATTTATTTAACTTTTATTTTGATCCTAAATATAAGATCCTAATCCGCTTGCTCTCTCATATTTATGTATTTTTTCCCAATATAATCTTTTTAGTAATAACAACTTTAACCAATATACTTGATTAATAAAGATATTTTAAAAAAAGACAATTTGTATTAATTATTACAAATAACTAACTTAATTTTTTTAATCTATTCAAATTAGTCAACTAGCTCTTGTATTTAGAACCAGAGGTAATAATATTTTAATGTTCAGATTATTTCTTTCTTTCTTTTTTTTCCTTGTGATGATGTTCAGATTGTTTCTTTCAGTCTTTTTAAATTGCTTTGGTTCTGCCGCAATTTATAGAATATAAGGTAAGTAATTTCAATGGTAATGACAAAAAAAGTCAAAAGAAGGTGAAATAAGAGTTTTCCTGTCAAGCATTGATAAAAAAGAGTTGGAATCTTCAGCAAAAACGGTGAGTTTACATTTTCTTTTGGTAGAAAGAAAATCTTCTATCTACATTTTAATTGTCTTATTTCATATATTTCCACGAATCACATCATGCTGGAAATAACAAGAGTAAAATACACTAACTATCTCTTTATTTTAGTTAAATTATAAAAATCTTCTTTCTATTTTAAAAATGTATATAAATCTCTCTTTAAAGTAAAATGTATAGTATGTAAACCTCCTTTATATATTTGAGATTTTATTTCCATCAATCCAATCGTTAGTTGATTGTCAGACTCGACTTTAAAACTTTTGTTTTAACTAAAATACTCTTCTTTAACATAAAATTTCTTTAAATATTGATATTTTTTAAAACAATTGTTGGTAAAAAAATATTTTTTTGGTGACATAAAAACATAATTTTAATACATGTATTTTCAAACTTTCTAATATATAATAAAATTTATTAAACTTTAAAAATTTTGTTTTGACTAAAATACTCTACTTTAACATAAAAATTTTTAAACATTTATATTTTTTAAAAAATTGTTGATAAAAAAAATTTTTTGGTTACGTAAAAAAATAATTTTAATACATGTATTTTCAAACTTTTTAATATATAATAAAATTTATTAATTTTGATTATATTATGAAATTTCATAATTTTAATTTTTCATCATAAATATTGAAACTTAGTTCTTTAGTTTTCTTTTAAATGGCTACAAGATATGTTAAATACATATTTTTTTACAATATAAATTACCTAATTTTGAGAGATTATAGAAATTATTTAAATTGATAATTTAAAATTTTTATAAAAATTTTTGTTAGAAATATATATATAGTTTATTTAGTCAATTGTATATTTATTTAAAAATTTAATAAATTTTCATTCAAGTTTTTTATGTCAACATTAACTAAATTATTTAATTTTCTGTCTCAATATGATAAAAATATTAAACATTTGTTTTCAAAAATAAAAAGAATCAAGAAAAAAAATAAATTCTTCAAAAAATTTTAACCAAAATTAACGGATTTAGTATTATGAAAAGTAAATTAGTAAATAAAAATATTTTAATATGATTTTTAATTAAAAAAATTATCTTCTTAGAATATTCTTACTAGAGTTCACCATTTAGTCTTTAGTTTTTTATGTAGAAAGAAGGTTGGTGTAATTATGACAAAATACAAGAGAAATTAGAATATTTTACTCTATAAATAATAGATCTTCTAATTATACTACATTAAATTTGAAAATAAGAGAAGACTTGTCTATTTATTTATAGTCATTATAATTAATCCTTTAATCAAATCTTAATATATGCGTTTTTTCACTTTATCGTTTATTTAAATATAACAAACTGTAATTATATTTAGAGTTAAATATATGGACCTTCTGTCTATTTAATTTAAATCATATATAAATATATTATTTTATTTTGAGGATCAACCTTTTAATTTACTCATCACCTTATTGATATTTTGTTTCAACACGTCAAACACCGCATCATCGACATAAACATTACCTAACAATCATTTCATCATTCATTTTTAGTCAAGAAAATAATTTTAATGTATATATTTAAATTTTTTATTATAATTTTAAATTTCTTAAATGGATTTCATAATTTTAAATATTTAGTCTCATTTATTTAAACTCATTTATAGTATAACATTTTGAATATATGCTTGGCTAAAAAATGTTTTGCAAGTAAAAAAATTATGGAATGATATTTTGAGCATATTATTTTAATTATGAACTTATTTATTCCACATATATAATTTTTTTAAAAATATATATCATTAAATGCATATTTACTAAAAAATAGTCAAATTGTTTTAGAACTTGACATAACAGATAAAAAGAACTTGACCTAAGTTTTCTTCTAAATCAAATATACATTTATTAAAAGAATGACCAAATTTTGAATCAATTATGTTTATATGTTACACTTGATTCTTAATATAAGAGTTAGTTGACTAATTTTAGTAGAGTAAGAAAAAAAAATTAAGTTTCACAAAAAAATAATTAAGTTAGTATTTTTTAATAGATAGGTATTATCTTTTCTAAAATATTCTCAGTAATTAAGTGTATTGGTTAAAACTACTATTATTACAAAGTGGATTGGAATTTTATATTTATAATCAAAATAAAAGTCAAACGAACTCTTATATTAAGGATCAGAAGTAGTATATTTTAACTAAATTACTTAAATTTGTGTTCCAATATGATAAAAACATTAAGTAGATAACTATTTATTTAAGCTTTTAGAATTTTTTAGAATGTTCTTTAACACTATTAATAATTTAGACTAAAATATATGTTCTTAAAATAAAAGAGAGATATGTGTAATTATGACAGGGCATTGAGGTGGTTAGGGTATTTTATTCTTAAACTTATTCTTATATACTCTATGTAAGTTAAAAAAAAAAAAAGAAGCTTTCTTTGGAAAAATAAAAAAAGCGCTTTCTTTTGGCATGTTTTCATTTTTGGGTTAAAGGACATGATTTTCAGACCTAAAGAGTGAGATTGCTCCAACAAACGATTTCAACCCCTTGGTGCTCCTGCAAAATAATTTATTAGGAACAAAAATATCATTAATTTAACCCTTAATTATTGGTTGGGTTATTCTACGGAAAAAGTTAGAAATTTAATGCGTACGTACAGGTGAACTGGGGGGCATAGTGCTTTTGTATATTAATTCTAAGTAATTTTTTTGGAGTGATGTATGCCTCATATTCTTTTTTGGCTCTTAGCTTTTTTTTTAATTAATTATTAATTTCTAAATAAAAATTGTTAATGGCTAATGAAACATACTGAATAACTAAATAAAGGTTGTCAATAACATAAAAGAGTGGATTTGGTAATTGTTAAGCCAAAAATTGTTAATGGCTAATCAAGTGTACTAAATAGTTAAACAAAAATTGTAAATAACTTGTAGTTAAAGAATGTCATGTATTTATTTTAACTAGTTTGAAATTTAAAAATGTGATTATTAATTAATTACTGAATAAAAATTATTAATAGCACAAAAGCGTGAATAATTAAACAAAATTTGTTAATAGATAATAAAATGTAACGAATAGCTAAACAACAATTGTGAATGATTTGCAGTTAAATTAAAGTTGAAGAGTTAATTAACTTATATATTATTTTGGTAACATAATTTTAAGATGCAAGTGGTTGTGTAATTAAACCCCACATTCACCATTCTCTCAAAAAAATTCCTCCCACTAGCAGCCTAGCTCACTAGAGCTCCAAGCCAGTGGGGGGCTGTGGTGCCGTTGGGCAACGGTCGCCATTGGCGTCGCCGGCAAGGGAGCTGGGAACTCTCTCTTACTCTATTTTTTCCCCCCAAACAAAAGGCATTTATGGCTCTGCATGAATTTCAAAATCTTATTTTGGGATTTGATACCTTGTGAGAACTTTGTAATTTTATATCACGCCTCTGTCATTTAGTATTTTCTAGATTTTTCTGTCATTTTTTCTTCTTTTATATAGTTTTCTTTCTTTTTTTAATAAGGCTTTTATATAGTTTTCAAATCGTTATATCACCCTAAAATTTGGATGTGCTTTTGTATATTAACTTCTACAATGACCTTATAGAGTGATATATGCCATATTCTTTTTTACCTGAGCTTTTTATTAATAGGCCCCATTTATTTCAAAAATGTATTATTTTATATAATTATGAGATATTAAGTCTAAATTTATTGGAAATTAGTTCTACAGTTTTATCGAATAATATGGCTATTATTGTACCCAATAATATATCACTGCGAACAAAATATGTAAAACAAATATCTCTTTGATACTAAAAGTCTCTATTTTTTAAAATTTCTTATTATTTTAACAAATAGCAGAGCATGGCACCTTTTTTTCTTTAATCCTATGCAACATTAATATTACCATGCATATGGTGTATTATTATTATTAATATACTCCCTCCAATTAAGTAAAAATAATTGTGTCACAGGATTTGAGAAAGTTCGTTATTTTTTTAGTTATGTATGAAATTGTTTTTCCCCCCTGAAATGCTTTATCAGTAATGATGATTATTTATTGTAAGTATTCATCTGTTGTAATTTTGAATAGAGGCGCAATTGGGAACACACAATAATACAACTTAAAATTGGGTAGTTTTTGTTTATAATAAAAATAAAAAATTGATATAATTAAGATGGGAGGTAAAACAAATCTTTCATTTAATTGAACCCCAAAAATTTTAAAGATTAATCGCGCGACTAAAGTCTACGTAGGTATATAATAAGTCAAATAAATTTTGAGATACATCTTTGATATATCATATGCTTTCAATTTAAAATGCTTCTGATGTCCATGGATTTTTCATTTTACTTGCTTTGCTATTGCATAAACGGCTTACTTTTCTACAATTCTATATTCAGGTTGAATTTCTTTCAATGGCCGGTGAAGCCTTTGGAACCAATCGCATCCTCCAACCCGACCAGATGATGCCAGAGCCGTGTTCCATTCAAGGAATTTAAAAAAAACAAAAAAGAAAAAAGAATGGAACACTAAACGGTAGTTGGATTGGAGTCAATTCGGGATTAAGTCAACTGTTTCAGTCTGTCGGTCAATTCAACAACCAATCCAAACCACACCACAACTGCCAATCATCAAATGGAGTTGCTGCCATCGGTGATGTCTCAACACTTCCCCAGTTTTCCTTCTCTCCTCTCCTCATCCTTTCAGTCACCTTCATCTTGACTCCTACTTGGTTTTCAATTTCCCTCTCTCTGGTTCTTTTCTTTCCCTCAGGTAAGGTTGCCGTAGTTGTGTTTCCAGCACTTCAGTTTCCTTCATGAGGGGCTACTTTTTGCTTCTACTTCTTATTCTTGACTTATATATACATCACTACAAAAAAGAGTATTCACGACGTTAATTTACGGCGGTCATTAGCAAAAATGTTGTAAAAAATATGACGGTGGCATTTTTGTAATTATATGCGGACTTTTAAAGGCGGTTATTTAAAAAAACGGCGGTTTTTTAAATAACTGCTGTAAAAAGTACTTTTAACGGTGGTTTTTTAAATAACCGCCGTAAAAAGTCTATCAGTATTTTAAAATCCATCGCGCGATAGTTTTTACTTTTCAGAGTCAGAGCTCATAGTCTCCCATACCACATCCTCACTCGATTTTCTCCCTCCTCCTATATTTATCGGCGTTTATCCATTGCCTCTATCATTTTCGTCATATTCTTCCATCACTGTCGCTGTTGCTGTTGTCGTCACCATCGCCTCATCCTCTTCATTCTTATTTGTGAGTTTTTCACCTCCATTCTTTCTGTGGATTTTACAGTTTTTGTGGTTTGATATGATTATTTTCTTTAGTTAAAAATAAGATGCTTAATTTGAGTTTAAAGAGATCTGATTTTTAGCAGATCTGAGTTTTTGATTTTATCAGATCCGAGTCTTTGATTTTACCTTTATTAAATCTTAGTTGCTTCGATCTGGTGGCCGAAGGTGAAGCTAAGTGACACTATGAAGGCAGGAAAGAATCTATATTTACTCCATCAGAATGCTTTTAACTGGAGAGAGATTTCCTTTGAGGCTTTGTTCTCCTGTTCCCTCCTGATCAGTAGAATGAAACGTAGCTTAAAGGAATAAAAAATTTTCACGGAGGTTATTTATATGACCTCCGTGAAATGTCACATATCATGGCGGTTCTTAAACCGCCGTGAAATTCTCTACATTTTACGTCGATGGCATAGACGTCGGTCTCAAAACTGCTATAAAAAGCTTATTTTAACCGCCGTTAAATGTATTTTTTGTAGTAGTGTGATACCATCATTCCAGTGTATATAGAGACTGAAAAATAATATATATATATATATATATTTATATCATCTTTTACTCGACATGTTCTCTTTCTCGTGCTTGTGATGTATCCTAATCGTTACTGAATATTTCCCTTTTGATTTGCAGTTTGTGCATCCTCGTTTCTTTGCACTTCGATTCTTCATTTTAGCTTCCCTCTGATATTCCCAAAATCAACAATCAACAATAAAAATCAACAAAAATTTCAGAAAAAGGAAAAAAAAGAAGAAGGAGATTTTCCTGTTGATAGGAACAGAAGACTCCTAAAAAAAGGTTGTCTTTTTTTTTATTATGTTATTTTTATTTTATTGTACACATATCACTATTTCTCATCTGTTATATCCACTATGATATGATTAGTGTGTATTGTTCAGACTTGGTAGTAATTGGATCCATCTTTTAGTTATACCACATGAATAAAATCTATAGGAAGGCATACTATTCATGAGCTATATGGACACATTGATCCATTTATATGAAAGTTGCCTAATATAAAGAAAATGTGTGTAGTAATTATTATTATGAAAATAGGGAGGGTATAATTAAAGCTCATATGCTTCTATACTTTATTATTCGAAATGAGCATGATCTAGTACTCTCTCCTAATATATTCGGATTCTTCAACTCTTTTCAGTTTTCTTCGGCTTGATTTCTTTTCCTTCTTTCGAGATGTTTCCTGCTCAAGACATCGTCAAGTAACTAGAGTTGAAATCTCCAAAGAAAAGGTGAATATACATTTTGAACGTATTTTCTCATCCTTTAGGCTACGTTGCGCGCTATTTGTAATCTGATTAATATTTAGTTTGTCCTTTTAATGTCTTGTTATTCACTTTTCTTTTTGTTGCCAACATTATGGAATTAATTACATTATTATCGTTTATGGATATTCAGAACCAAAAATAAGTGGATTGTTGTGTATGGAGTGAAGCAGCGAGCAAAGTTTATTGAGTTGGAGAACAGAGGTTACAGGATTTAGAGATTGTTTTTTAGTTCCCCCCCCCCCCCCCTCAAAACGGTTTTATACAATTTTTTAAAACTTACGAAAAAATATATTTGGATTATTATCTAAAAAGTTACATTGGAAAATAAACATATTGAAATTAGAGGGTAAAATTTGGATGAGAGCTCAAGTCCTCAAGTAGAGAAAAAACTATCCGGTGGGGAAAAAACGAGTCTTTAAAACAATACAAAAACACTTGGCTACAAATATATTACCAAACAAGTTTTTTTATGGAAGAATTTTAAAGAAATACCTTTGAATTTTAAATTTTCAGGTCAATATTATTCACTACACTTTAATAACAATTAATAATATTTGAAAAGTAAATATCAAAATATTTTTGTGATTTGGGATTTTAAAATTTTAGAGTTATTTTTTTTAGAAATTTTTATTTTTTTTTACTTTATTTTAAATAAAAAAATTTTAAAAACAAGAAAATAAACACGTAGGCCAAAATGTTTGATTTCTTGATCTCGATATGTATTTTTTATTTAAAAAAAAATAAAAGAATATGTTTGAAAATGTATTTTTGGTTACACGTTCTGAAAAAAAAAATTAAAAATTATTTTGAAAAACAAAAAGAACAATTTTTTGATATTTTGTTATGCTTTGTTTTGTTCTAGGACAATACAAAAATAGAGAAGAGGAGAATTTTGTAATTGTCACATTTTTTCCTAACAAAAACAGAAGGTCACAACTAGGATTAGGATTGAAATTAAATTAGGCGTTGTTCTTATTGATCCGTGTTTAAGATGGGAGGTAATACATATCTATCATTTTAATTCAACTCTCTTAAAAATCAAAAAATGTAAGACACATCTTTAATACATGTCTGGAATTTTCTACCGTGCGTACTTGCCTTGCTATTGCATGACTGGCTTACCATTACTTTCCTACCACCCTATTCAGGTTGAATTGCTTTCAATGGCGGGTACAGACTATGGAGTCAATTTAGGGGCCGGGCTTGCAGTAAGTATACTAACGGCTGTAGGACGGCGAGCTCGTTATTGTTATGAATTCAACGAGCTTGTTACAGATATGGAAAATGAACAAGGAAACTTAAAAGCTACAAGAAATGACGTGCGGGTCCAATTTAGAAAAGAGAGAGCCAACAGTAAAGAGCCTGCAGCAGACCTTCAGAGGAAGTTTCGGGAAGCAAATGTGCTCATAGACAAAGTGGACGAGCTGAAAGAGAAAGCAGAAGCAAAGCAAAGCTGCTGCCATGGGGTTTGCCCCAACTGGATATGCCGATATGTTGTTGGAAAGAAAGCAGAGAAGAAGACGAAAGCAATGAAGCAGCTTAATGACCAGTTGAGACCAAAGCTATCATCTGCTTATCGTAAATCACTCAAATACATGGCCCCATCGGAAGATTTCATTCTATTTAAGTGCACAGAAGAGGCGTGCAAAGAAATCTTAATGGCACTGAGAGATGATAAAAAGATAAGAATTGGGCTTTATGGAATGGGGGGTTGTGGTAAGACGTCCTTGTTAGAAGAAGTGCGTAAGGAAGTGGAAGACCGTAAACTCCTCAAGACAGCATATGCCGTTGTGTCCAATACTCCAAATTACATAGCTATTCAAGATAGCATTGCAAACTGCATAGGCTTGGAATTTGTGACGGAGAAGAATGTAACTGATCGAGCTGAAAGATTGTCCATGGCATTTGAAGACGATAAGAAATATCTTGTAATCTTGGATGATGTGTGGCAAGTGCTTGACTTTAAAGCCATAGGGATTCCCGTTCGAGAAAATTGCAAGGTTCTTCTAAGTACTCGGCAACGACATTTATTTGACTTGATGAAATTTGATGCACCGATTTATCTATCACTTTTAACGCCAGAGGAAGCCTGGGACTTGTTCCAAAAGTATGCTGGTGAAATAAAAGACCCATCCCAACAAGAAGTGGCTCGAAAGATCAGTGATGAATGTCATAGATTACCTGTTGCAATCAAAGCTGTGGCCAGTACTTTGAGGGGCAAAGAACTTTATGCATGGACAGATGCACTGGAAACATTGAAAGATCGTAAACAGCCTTTGAATATTGAAAAAGGACTGGAAGATCCATATAGATGTCTTAAATTTAGTTTTGATGAGTTGAAGGATGCAGAAGAGGTATCACTTTATTTATTATGTGCTCTGTGCCCCAGCGACTCAGAAATTGCAATTGAAGCTCTGATCAGATTTGCATTTGGCTTGGACATATTTCGTGATATTGATTCATATCAAAGAGCTAGGTCCAAAGTGCGTACAGCCATAGATAAATTCAAGAACCACTGTTTGTTGCTGCAGGAAGTACTGTTTGTTAAATTACATGACATGTTTCATGCTTTAGCATTGTGGGAAGCGAAGAAAAAAACTAAAGTGATTACGGGGCGGAGACAGATTGTAGCCCAGAAAGATCATATGAAAGATACAAATAGGTTGTATTGCCATGAAATAGAAGAATTCCCAGATCCGTTGTTTTGTCCAGAACTTGAGATACTAATTGTGTCCAATAATGGTGGATACTCATCAAAATTCCCAGATATGTTTTTCCAAGAGATGATGAGGTTGAAAGTGCTTGCCATAAAAAATACATCTACTGGGACAAAACCAAATTTATTGCTACCTCCATCAATTGAAGGACTGAAAAAGCTTCGAACTCTTTGCTTGGGAGGATGGACATTAATCAATATCTCTATGTTTGAAAAACTTGGGATGCTTCACACCATTGAGCTACTGGATTCTGTAATGAAAGAGCTTCCTGAAGAATTAGTAAACCTGAAGGGATTAAAATTGTTGGAGGTATCGAATTGCAAAATAGGAGGCAATCCTTATAAGGTGCTTGCCACATGTTTACATTTGGAAGAGCTGTATTTTGTTGAAAATCATCTTCCAGAAGTGGTGCAGCTTGGTCAGAAAGTTGCTGATTTTTTTCACCAAATTGGCTCCTTTGAGGTCCTACAAAGGTATCATCTAGAAATTGGAGGTCCCATAAATACTTCCAAGGATCATTCATTGTCTAAACTCATATCTATAAATAATTGTGAAGCCTGTATTACAGTCGAAGCATTCCAAGCATTGGCCCTGACATTAGAGGGTCTTTTCTTGGAAAAAATTCAAGGAGAAAGCGAAAGCATCATTCCTGGCATTTTTCCGATACAAGGTGAACGTTTGAAGGAGCTAAAAGAATTTGTACTTCGTGATTCTGATTGCATAAAATGGCTGATAGACACCACAAAAGATCAACTATATCAGACTAGAATCCTTTTCGCCAAGTTGCAGAAGTTGAGAGTTGCAGCCATGGAGAGCTTGGAAGCCTTATGCCATGGTCCACCTCCTTCTGGCCTTTTTGAGAATTTAAAGGAGCTATTTATAGCAAACTGTAGACAATTGGCATTTCTCTTCACGACCACCACTGCTCAAGGATTGGTGATGTTGGAAGTGCTGGAGGTAACAGATTGTGGTAAATTAAGGTACATGATAAAAGTTGAAAACGACAATGAAGATATATCAGTGGGACCTGTGCTCTCAAACTTGAAACAAATCAGTGTCAAAAGATGTAAAAATCTAAAATGCATACTACCGATCTCTGTTGCTAGTGGTCTTCTGCGATTGGAGAGTCTCGAAATAGAAGATGCTGCTGAACTGCAATATGTATTCGGCGGAGATAATCATGAAAAAGCTGAAAGCCAGAACCAGACCAGCATTGACCTTTCAGCGTTGACAATATTCAAGCTTATTAACTTGACAAGTATCATCAGAATTTGCCCAGGAAATTATGAAACCAAGTTGCCTGAAGCAGTTGTGACGGGATGTCCACTGTTGACAGGCATACCTTCAGATTCTGAAGTGACACAAGAAGATGATGATGAGGATATGGAGCAGGTAATATAAGGCTAGTGAGCCCGCGCACAACTATTATAATTTAGCCTACCAATTGCATCAATTACTTTCTAATTGCTTATAATTGTGGTGTCTATTTAGGCTATGTTGCTTTCACCATCGAGTGGTAAGGACTTAAGATCTAGTACTTGGGTGAGGACTGCAAAAGATTTGGCACAAGCATCAGCACGACAAGCTCGCTATTTTTATCGATTCAATACTTTTGTTACAGATCTCAGTGTGGAAAAGGACTTGTTACTATCAAAATTAGAAGGCATACAGCAGCATGCGCTTGTTGAAGCAAGAGATCTCATAGAAAAAGTGGAGGAGTTGGAAAGCAAAGCAGAAGCAACCAAGAGCTGTTGTCATGGTGTTTTTCCTAATTGGTTGTCTCGATATAATGTTGGCAAGCATTTAGAACGAATGACAAAAACAGTGAAGCAGTTCAATGAAAGGTTGACAGAGACACCAAACCGCCTTCCATCACAACTCACGATCACGCGCCGTAACAATGTCAGTATCTTTGAATCTAGAAAGAGTGTGTACGATGAAATCCTGGCGGCTTTGGAATATGATGCGGCTTACATGATTGGTCTTTATGGAATGGGGGGTTCCGGTAAGACATTCTTGGTCAAAGAAGTGTGTAATCAATTGAAAAGAGTGAAATCTTTTGATGAGGTGGCCTTTGCCGTGGTGTCCTATTCTCCAGACATTAGAAGAATTCAAGGTCAAATTGCACACGATTTAGGCTTCAGACTTGATTGTGACATGGATGAGACTGCAAGAGCCAAAAGACTATCTATGAGATTAAATAATGGTGACAAAATTCTCATAGTCTTGGATGACATGTGGGAAAAGCTTAATCTTGAGGACATAGGGATTCCCCCTAGTAGAAATTGCAAGGTTGTTTTGACTGTCCGAAACCGAGCAGTCTGTACCTTGATGGAGTGCCAAATAGTGGCCTATTTACCACTCCTAAGCGAAGAGGAATCTTGGATTTTATTTGAAAGCAATGCGGGCTTGATACAAGATACACTGAAAAATTTGGCGCTGCTGATTTTAACAGAATGTCAAGGATTACCTCTTTCAATTATTGCTTTGGCTAGAGCTTTGAAAGACAAGGCAGCACCTGTTTGGGAGCTAGCACTTTATACATTGAGAAATTACGAAATAGCAAATGTATCAAGTGACGTGGCAAATGTTTTTGGATGTCTGAGATTAAGTATCGACCACTTGCGTGGTGATGAAACAAGATCACTTTTCTTTTTATGTGCTCTCTTTCCGGAAGATTCAATGATCGCTCGGGAGATTTTGATCAGATTTGCATTTGGATTGGGCATATTTAAGGATGTTGACTCATATGAAAGAACTAGAATCGAAGTGGTCGCCACCATTGATAAACTCATCGACTCTAATTTGGTACTACAGGAAGACGAAAAAAGACAATACATACGGATCCACGACTTGGTGCGTGATATAGCCTCTTGGTTAGCAACGGAAAGTCTAGTGACCATGGGGCCTGGAGAGAACCTGATGGATATGAAAGATACAAGAAGATTATATTGTCATGATATAAATGAACACCCAGATCAATTAAATTTCCCCAAACTTGAGCTTCTGTTTGTTTCCTTTGATGGTGGATGTACATCAGATTTTTCAGATGCTTTTTTCATTGAGACGAGAGAGCTCAAGGTGCTGACCATAATAAATAAAACTACAAGGACAATCCCAAATCTACACTTGCCTCAATCAATGGATGGGTTAAAAAAGCTTCGAACTGTGTGCTTGAGAGGATGGACCTTAAACATCTCTATTTTAGCAAAACTGGAGATGCTCGACACTATTGAAATCGTGTATTGTGTAATCACGGAGCTACCTAAAGAATTAGCAGAACTAAGAAGGTTAAGTTTGCTGGAAGTACGGGGGTGCAAAATGGGGAACAATCCTTTTGAGGTGCTGGCCAGATGTTCCCAGCTTGAAGAGCTGTATTTTGTTAAGAATAGTCTTCCCGAAATGGTGTCAGATGATCATAACGTTGTTAGACTATTTCACCAGATTGACTCCTCTAATGTGCTGCGAAGGTATCATCTTGAAGTGGGAAGTTCCATACATACTTTGGGGAATGATTTTGTCACAAAATTCATATCTATAAATGGTTTCAACATCCCTGTCTCAAATGAAGGAATGAAGAATATGGCACAAAAGCTAGAGGTTCTTTTCTTGGAAAATGTCCAAGGAGACTTCAAAAACATCTTCCCTAGCATGATTCCAATAAAAAAAGAGTGTATGAAAGAGTTGACAGAATTTTTACTTCACGGTTCCGACAACATAGAATGCTTCATTGACACCACAAATCATCAACTATTTCAGGCTACAACTGTTTTCTCCAGGTTGCTAAAGCTAAGAATTAAAACCATGAAGTGCTTCAAGGCCTTGTGCTGTGGTCCGCTTCCTTTCAATCTTTTTGAGAATTTACAAGAGCTGTTCATTGCAGAGTGTAGCCAATTGCACTGTATTGTCTCTGTGGGCAAGCTGAATTTTTGTAATCTCAAGCACTTACAATTGGAGGATTGTCCAAAGTTGGCATCTATCTTCACATATTCCACTGCTCAAACTATGGTCTCGTTGGAAATCCTGACAGTACGAGATTGCATCTCCCTGAAGCATATAATAGAAGATGAGGAGGAAGATGACATTACTCTGGCAGTGCCTATCTTCCAAAGTTTGAAACGAGCGTGCGTCAAGGGATGTCAGCATTTGGAATTCATCATACCAGCATCTTCTCTTGGCGGCCTTTCACAACTAGAGAGTCTGGAAATAGAAGATGCCAGTCTGTTGAAACATGTATTTGGTAAATATGAACGTGAAGAAGGCCAAAATCAGAGTGAATCCAACGGTATGGTTGGTCTTCCATATCTGAAAATTTTAAAACTTGTTGACTTGCCAAATGTCACAAGCATCGGCCCACAGAGTTATCACATAAGTTGGCCGAATGTTGCTAAACAATATATAAAGGGATGTCCACAATTGAGCATCCCATCTGATTTAGATTCAGAAGCAATTCAGCAAAGTGGTGGCAAGTCCAGGGAGCAGGTAATACTAATGTGTGAATAGACACACATATATAAGAAGAACGCATCTTGAGTGGTTAATTATTTTTTTTTCCACCATGATTTTTTTATTTTACTGATCATGTGGGAAATTTTGTAGGAGTTGGAATTTCCAGCAAAACAAAGCAGCGACATGGTTGTGGAAAGCGTAGAAAAAAGGAAAGAAGTTGATGAGGCAGTTGTTGGAAATCATTCTGTACATTCCTTGTCACCTATCATGGCTTCAGGTTCGAGTGAATTTTTTGCCAGCCACCAAGACAAAGGATTACCATCACATACTAGATCAACTTATTCAAATGAAGACAGAGGCTTTGCTATTGTCCCTTCTAATATTCAAGATGATTATGTAAATAGAGAGAATCAGAGGGGCAATAATGACATTCCAAGTGGATCTATCTCAACAGGTTCAGATTTTCACTTGCTGAAGCAGGATGATACTGGTAAAAATTTCTTAATTGTTTGGTTTTTTTTTCATTTGTAATTTTCAATGGATACCTATTTTTCTTTCTCTCTCTTTTTTTTTTTTCACTCTATGAAGTACAATCAGCTGCAGAGGTTCATCCCCACTTACAAGAATTCCAAAACGTGGACACTGAAGAAGACCTTCAAAAGCATAAAGGCTGTCCAGTTGATTCAATGAACCTGCAAGAGGTGAATCCTGATTCCTATTACTGTCTTTTACCATTAGGGAACTGCTCTTAGTAAATTATCCTTGTTGTTGTCATAGTTTCACTCAATTGTTACCTATGTGTATATATATACATATTAACAAACTAATTTGATCCCTGCCATGACTATGCATGATTTGTGACGCTAAAAAATTAATCTAAATTTTACTTATGCATACTATATGAACTTTTCACGATATGAATGTGTCTGACTTATGCCAACTAAAGGACCAAAAGTAGATAGTGAAGTAAAATTAACTTACAAACATGCTTTGCGATACAAACTCTGTTAAGGAACTCGGGTTAATTGATCTGGATTATACAGATATATAGGAATAAAATGAAATCTAGTAGGTCGTGTATATAAAATGCAAGGAATTGCTGCCAGAAGTATAATAGCAGACACTACTGACAACTTTTTCTTCTCTCTCTCTCTCTCTCTTTTTTAATTCTATAACAACTCAATAGGAATTTCTGAACTACAGGGACCAAATTAACCTTACCCATAGTATTGAGAGTTGGTATCAGCTTCCTCCTCCACTCCTTTAAGCATCATTAAACCCTATGCGTTTTTCTTTGGGTTTACAAATGTAAATCCATTTATGAAGGTAACCTAGAAACTGAAATTTATCATTTGGAAAATATTGCACAGAGTAGCAGAAAAACAGGAAAGGGAAGCCCTCATAAGGATACTGGACTAGAAGAATCAAAAGTGGGAACATCAACCCAGGTAGGCGCATTACACTCTTCATTATAGCGAAAAGATTTTATAGAATACAGCCTAAAAGGCTAAAATTGTTGGTTATTAATGGAATATAGGAGTTGATCGATAAAGAACAACAGTTTGAACTCGATGCAAAAGTTGCAAAGGTTCAAGACGCTACAGAGGTTCATCCTCGGTCAAAAGAATTTGATGTAATGGCTCACACCCAAGAAGGCCTTCAAGAGCAAAACTTTTGTTCAGTTGGTTCAATGAACTCGAGAGAGGTGTATTTTGAATCCTGTTACTTTCTTTTACATTAATAAATTGTTCTCTGTAAATTAGCTTATATGATAGGTTATAAAATTAAGTTCATCGCTGGACTTCAACTTAGAAACTAATATGTATCAAATGTCAATTAATGCACAGAGTAACATAGAAATAGCAAAGGTCAGTTTTGACAAAGATTCTGCAGCAGAAGAACCAACAGTCGGAACTTCATCGGAGGTAACTCCATCGCCTGCTTCTTGATGGGATAACATTATAAAGAGGACAACCTGAAAGGCTGTAATTGTTGGTTCCATTTGCAGGTGTTGATTGACAAACAACCACAGACTGCGACGGACCCACAACAAGCTCTTCAAGAATACAAAGGTATCTTTTGAATTGCTCTAAAGAATTAATATATCTTCCTAGGTTTCTCATCATGTAATAACTTCAAATTTTCAGTTGAAAATGTTTCCAAGCTTCAAATAAATTGCAACTTATTCTTATGACTTCCCAACTTTCTCCAATTTTAAATGGCTAAACCGACATTTGTATCATTTGTAGCGGCTCTTCCTCAGCCCGTGGATCCAACAGTGCTTTCACCAAGTACTAGCATCGCTACCACTCCCCTGACCTCAGAAGCACTGACTTCATCTTCAACGAAGCAGCACCCTCCCGCAGTGGAGTTGGTTGATTCTCATGGTCTATTTAAGATTAAGGAAAGACGAGCTCGCTTACTTGATGAAGCATTTGTCAAATATCCACATTTAAGGGAATGGAAACTCACACAAAGGACTCCTAAGATTTGCAAGATGGGATACAAGTGCTTAGCTGACATGCTAGCATTTTTAAAATCAGAGACACCAAAGACAATGGATGATTCAAAGATGGAGGAATTTGAAAATCTATATTATGAACTGGAATTTTTTGGCTTTGACAAGATTTGGTTGGCATCTACTCGCCAGAGACTGAAGGATATGCTAGCTGATCATGATAACAAGTTGAAGCAGCTGGATCAGTTGGAGTCTCAAATTAGCAACTTAGAAGAACGACTTAGTGATGCAAGAGCAAGCTTGGCCAGCGTGAAGGATGATCTCGCAAAACCCGGCGATGTATTTGGCTTTTAAGTATGGTTTGTATTGAGACGTATAGCTCGCTGCGTTCATAACACTTCTAAAAAAACTACTCCGTTATATATGTAAAAGTTAGTTAGGGGGTTTTCTTTTCTTTAAATAAAAATAAGATTTCAATTTATTTTGTCTTTTAAATTTATAATCTTTTTTTCTTAACTTTTTTTTATTCATTACACATGGTAACGAGGTTTTCACCCAATGCAAGTGACTAAAGAATATATTTTAAGCAAGCTAGCACATATCTTTTATAAATAACAAACTAAACTAATTTTTTTTAATCTTTGTAAATTAATTATCCAGCTCCTATTCATGATGAGATTTACCAAGTATTGGTTTACCAATCGCATCAGTTGGCAAATGCCAATGTTATGAAGTCCTGAGTTTGCTATTCTAAATTTACTTTCACATTGTCCGGGAAATTTGTTTCTACATCGTTGAAATACATGCCTGGTGCCTTCATTCATTGGCCCACAATTTCAAGCTTATGAAAGAAAAGCGACTCTGGAAAATTGTCAACTTTCACATCTGATATGTTTTCTACTTTAAGCTCTTTTTGAATGCCTCAATTGTGATGTACAGCATCAATCTAAAAAACTAAGTAAATCAACGAGTTGGCTCGCTTGACATGATAACACGTATATTACACATATAGAGGTACAGATTAACAAACAAGCAAAGGTTGTGACAGACCCACAACTAGGTCTTCAAGATCACAAAGGTATCTTTTAAACTGCTCCTAACAAGTAATATATCTTTCTATGTCCCTTGTGTGTTAATAACTTTAAAATTTCAAGTGAATATGTTTCCAAACCACAGATAAATTGCAATTTGTTACTATGACTTCCCTGCTTTCACCAATTTTAAATATTCAAACAGAAATTGTTATCACTTTTTACGCTTGTCTCTTCCTCTTTATGTGCATGAAGCAGTACTTTCGCCAAGTTCCAGTATCACGACCCCTTCACCAACTTCAGAAGAACTGATTTCATGTTCAATGAAGCAACAAGAAGTGGCAGAAGAGTTATCAGCTGATTTTCAGGGTCTAACAAGATATGGTCACTTGCCAGATGAGGTATTTGTTAAGGCAGCAGGTTCACATTTTCAGTCAAAATATAATTTACTTGGTTGATTTATTTTTTAAAAAGTCACAATAAAAAAATCCATCTTATTTGCTACATACTGATAATAAAAATCAGGGAAGATCTGCACTATCTACTAGGTTGGTTTGTTTGTTAAATTTCAGTAACTTAATATATTTGATAGGTAAGTAACTATATATTAGGTTTGTAATATTTAATTTTTGACTCTACTTGGTCTAGATTCAAATGTATTTGGGGTTTGTCCCCCACTGATCTTGAATATCAAATTACTGTACACTCGTTAGTATGAAATTTGATTTGTTAGGAAGATGTGACCCCTCCTCTGTTAAATAGGCCAAATCGGCAGAGGTCAGAAACAGAGCATCGTTAGGGGGTCAAGTTAAAAAGGTGATGGTTCGAGCAGCCAGGCTGACCGGGCGTAGTGGGTTGGAGGAGCAGGAGCCTGTGATCCTTCCACTGTGAGGAGCCAGAGGTTGTCGCTGCTCTGTGAAACCAGCCTCACGCGGTGCCCTCTTGTTCAGGAACCACAAGCCTCAAGCCTTCGCTTAGGACTCATGGCTCAAAACTCTCCACTTGGAACGGGCAAGCCAGCGAATTGCCTCCTTCAACCCAACCAGGGCATACCCAGCACCATGTTCTATCACCATAATGCCCCCACTCGGGTTACAAGCTAGTGCTACCCAGCTCGGCGTGCAGTGAATCAAGTCAGATAATTATGTAGTATGATTTTTCTCTCATTCTGGTCTATGTGGGACTTCTCGCGTAATTCTTTCTAAAATTGCAAGTTTTGCATCGAATATTATTTTTTGTCCCTTTAGAGAACACAGCATTGATGTGTTGTGATCATTTGGAACGCCTTCTGAGCATAAAGCGAAGCAAAACCATAAATCAAAACGTTACGGTCTGTGACACAAATGAAGTCAGATACATGGTTCTTCATCACCTCAAGCTAACCATAAAAAGTCTTGAAAAGCAGTTTTTTAATATATATATATATATATATATATGGAAATCCAAGTTAAAATTTATATATTGTTGGAATTTCTTCGACAAGTTGGGTCTGCATATCGATGGAGCCATAGTAATGGACTTGTATGTTGTTGTTCATTTCTAGTAACATTTTCTTTTTCTTTTACTAGTACAATATTTGAGAGAATCCTCTGGCATAAGGAAAACCTTTGGTGGACCAAATAAGGGAGATGCTAACCAGAGAATGATGTACAATTGATTCTTCTTCTACTTGTGCCTGACTGCCTGTGATGCAAATGGTGTTGCAGGTCATCTAGCCAAAGAAGCCCTTCAAGCACTATTGGGCTTTACCTGAATCTCCTCGCCACCTACTTTTCTTATGTGTGAGTCAGACAATAGGTAAGCTCAAATTACTATGTTTTTTTTTTTTGGTGTTCTTGATTTTATTATTTTGTCTATTGTCTGTTCAAGACGTTATTGTCCACCAAAAAAATATATTTCAAACTTAATACTCCTCCGGTCCTTATTATAAGACCAAATGTGACTTTTTATTTGGTCCTAATTATAAGACCCAATCCATTTTCTCTCTTATATTTATGCATTTTTTTCCAAGATAATCATTCTAATAATGATAGTTTTAGCCAATACACTTAATTAGCAAGGATATTTTAGGAATGACAACACTTATTTATTATAAATAACCAACTTAACTTACTTCCTTAATCTCCTCAAATAAGTCAATTGGGTCTTATAATTAGGACCGGAGGAGTATGTGTTATTGATCACGTTTCTTATAGTTTAATTTACTCGCACATAGTTAAAATTTTACGTAAGATTTAACCATAGTTCTTTCACTATATAAATATTTTAATACGGACATTGCAGTTTAATATTTTAAGAAAAATTACTATAAAGTTTTAATGAATAAATTTAATTATTAAGAAGTCCTAATAAAAAGTGAGATTATTAAAATTTTACGTAAGATTTAACCATAGTTCTTTCACTATATAAATATTTTAATACGGACATTGCAGTTTAATATTTTAAGAAAAATTACTATAAAGTTTTAATGAATAAATTTAATTATTAAGAAGTCCTAATAAAAAGTGAGCAACATGACCTTATTGTCATTGTCTATACTAAAATTTTTCATTGGATGCTCCTTGGTTGTTAACAAACTTTTGAATGATAAATCTACATTATTCAATAATTACGTCTGTTAATTATAATATTATATAAAATAATTTGTAGTTATTAATTCCTTTAAGAAAGTTTTACCTGAAATTAAAAATAGAAAACATAACATTGCAGGGGTCCAGGTTAAATATCAACAATACTAGAAGTACTCAGTCTCAATGACATAATTATATAATTTTATATTCAAATATTTTAAAAATAAATTAGGACCATTAAGAAAAATTAAATTTTTCACATGCCAAAAATTTAGTGTATGCTTGGATTAGCGGTGGCAGAAGTAAGCTTTTTTCAATCTGATTTTTACAAAAGTCAAATTGGATAAAAGTCAGCTGGTAAATTGTGATTTATGTTTGGATTGGCTTTTGTAAAAAAGTCAGATTGAGAAATTAAAAGTTGTTTGAATAATTAATAAAAAAGTCAGTTTAGATACAAAATGATTAAAAGGACATAAATTTTATTAAGTAATATATATTTAATATTAAATGTATATAATGTGATAATTATAAAGAAAATATTGAAAATAAAATTATTAGAAATAAAGAAATTAATTTATTATTATTAAGAAATTGAAAAAAAAATACTGAAATACTTAATTGAATATATTTAATGGATATGTGTGTGTGTAAATCAATTGCCGCTGGCTCTGTTTTTTCTTGTTTTTTCAGAGAAGAGATATGTATGTGAAAGAGGGTTAGGCAGGCAAAGAATTTAAAGTACAATAATAAATGCTCTCTAATAGTTTTCTCTACCGCACTAATGGTCTTTACCGTCAAAAGTAAGATGATGCAGCTTATGCAAAAAAACTCATTTAAGACAAAAAGGTCAAATTGCCAAATCGCTAAACCAAACATCACCATTTCATATAAGCCCAGCTTTTACCGATTGAGAAGTCAGTTTAGGCTCTCAAACGTGATGTCAAACACACCTTTAGTCATGTTTATATGAAGATCTTGTTCATCAATCTCCAGTTAAGAGATAAAGACAAGGTGTGAACTTAACATCACTCATTGAACAATGGGCACAAAAAGATGAACATGAATACCCCCCAAAAAATGTAGAGACCGCATAGATTTATTTAGAGTATCTTCTCGCGTTTAACCTACATTTTTTTTACAAAGATTCAATTTCCCATTTTAAAGTAATAACCATATATTTCAGCCATTTATTTCAGCCCAAAAACAACTAATCAAATTAGAAAGTTGATGAATGCCCTAAGCAACAGAAACTATCTCCTAGAATGCCACATTTTAAAGGATTAAAAGGAGAACTAATCAATCAGAACATAATATCACACTGCCTTACATATTTGTAGTGTCTGAAATGAAAGCTAATAATTGTCAGCCTAAAACTAACCTGACTGCATTTCAATCTCCATCTACCTCCTAGTTAGTTAGTCTCCCTAACAACTAAGGATCTGTCATAACTCTGAAGCCTAAATCTAACCCTAGTTCTCCATCACTAACTTCAACATTCTTCATCATAATCTTCATCATCTTCATCCAACCTCCCATTCATGTTGACCAGTTGAACAGGATCAATGGCCATTTTTTCCACATCAGACAGCGACCAGCCTGGGATTTCTTCGTGTTTCGGTTCTGGGGTTGGCTTTTCAGATGGACAAGTTGTCGTTGGTTTTTGAGATGGACAAATTGACGTTGGTTTTTCTGATGGACAAGGTTGGACAAGAGCCATGCTGGTTGGTGAATATCCGTTCTCCTCCACGGGATCCATATTTAAGTCAAAATTTCTAAAGCATGCTTCTGATGTCTTGCCAACGGAAGGCTTCACGTCATGTTCCGTACCAATTTCCATGCTTTCATTG